CCAGTATCACTACCACTGCTACTGCCGCTGCCACTGCCGCTACCACTACCACTGTCACTGCACCTGCCACTGCAACTGCTTCACTACTGCTGCTGCTGCTGCTACTAGTATCAGTACTGGTACCAGTACCAGTACGAGTCTCGTGCTGTTTTAGTGCTAGTACTAGTCCCAGCACTAGCCAGCACCACCACGACGATCAGTGCCATTTAGGCACTAGTTTTCAATAACGCCGAGTGCGACATTACCAAGGCTGACAATACCCCGCCTCTCCACCAAGGTACCGTGTGCTCTGACCAGTAGTATACATGCAGCCAGGATGCAGCAAGACGGTTGGGACTGACTTCGGCAGTCAACATCTGCCACGTTAAATTTAGTGGCGGTGAAGATTGAAGATCGTGGTTGCTCAGCCTGGGGCGCAAGCGGCATCACAAAGGTCCAACTCATCTTTTCTTCAGTTGCAACTGAGGAGACACATCCATATCATTACTAAGTCTGCAGCGCCTTCCCGGAGCTTCCGCGCGCCAGCGGCGCATCCGGTGATGAAGCTTGGCTCGAAGGCTCTCGCCACATGTGTGCCTGTGCTCATTGTATGAAGAAATCTTGTCACATCCCTCAGTTCGCACTACACAACATGCGAATCGCCTCGGGATGAGATCTTGCCACGAACCCCCAACATGCCCTCCAGTGCTTGGCCCAGTGGCAGCGCCGACCTACCCTCTATAGTGGGATTGGCACAGAACAATCCGAGGTTTTTTCTGGCTACCCTCGCCACTGCAGCTGGAGCAGCCCTGCCTGCGTCTTCGAGGGAGCAGGCAAGAAAGTGGGGTGAACGCGGTGAAGCCGGTTGCATGTCAGACATTCCCACGAGACTTGACCTGCTGCGGATCCCAACCTGTCCGCAAGGGCCACATTCCATGAATCATTCTGCTCTCGCCATCGAGGCAGAAAAGCAATTGCTAGACGGCACGGGCCATTCTGCTGCGACTGCAGCCAGAAGCTGGGCAAGTGTTCAGTCGCAGTAGAACAGCTATGACAGCTGATCCCATTGTCCCGATGTCGCCACCGAACATCGGCACGGGCACAATGCTTATGCCTATGTCCATGAGTATGTGTAGGTGTAGCTGTAGGTGTAGGTGTATGTGCGTATATTTATATATGTACATATGTATATGTATATGCTTATATATATATATATACACATACATGCGCATGTACCTGTGATGCATACATGCATGCACATATATGTATTCGTTGTATATATACACATACACACATACATGTCTACAACACATACACATCCGAATACTCGGGGAGGGTGACAGTTGCACGCCCTCTCAGACTCGCCTCAGGGGGTGTGGCAGGCCTGCAGCACCTCCTGCTCCTGTCATGCCGACAACAGTCGTTCACAACAAGCTTCATACCGGCTGGCGAAGCTTCCTAATGCTAAGGCTTTGGATTAGCATGGCAAATCAGTGGTTCAAATAATTTGTATGCCATCGGCTGCGCACTGCATGTCTTGACCTCCAGGCCCCAAGCCGAAAGCGGTAGTCATGATTTTGGGGCTTTGCCCCAAACTGAAAGCAGCAAACGTGGTTTGGTCCCAAAGTGAAAGCCACATGCGTGGTTTCAGAGGTTTGGTCACAGAAAGAAGGCAGCAAAAGCCCTTAAGGGAATGAACACGGCAGGCGTGGCTCCGGGGGTTCTGGCCAAGTCTGGTGTCGAAATCAAAGAAGTCTCGCAAAAGGAGTGCGGCCCTGAGTGCGGCTGCAGGCCGGTGCAGCAAAATGAGGTGGCTAGTACTACACGGAAAACCAAAACCTCAAACCAAAGCTTCGCCAACTGCAAAAAGTAAAGTTTTAAACCAAGTTTTGGCTGCTGCCAGCGGCACAGCCGTCGGTTCTCAGGGAGTCTCGCATCAGGTTCGGAAAGTGCACCATTACTATCCGAGGGATGATGCGAGCTGAAGCCAGAGGTGACGTTCTACTAGATGCTGGTAGGGAGGCGCGAAGCGTTCATTCAGTTTCCTGGTGACGATCTGCAATCCTCTTGGTCTGCAACATTTACGCCCACTCAGCCTGGTTTTCGTGCTGTGGCCCAGCAGGCTACCTCGTACAGTGTGAATGCAGAGGGGGAGCAGCTTGGCACGTAAGTGCAGAGTTCTGGGACACATTACGAGTTGCGGCGAACCTTATGCTAGATCTTGATTTTGTGGCAAACGGTGTAGGTTGAACTGCAGATGCCCACAGATATGTTGGCGTCCGGAGGTTGGGGCTCCACCTGTGCGTCGTTGTGGTTACTATCGTGGTGGTAGTGCTGGTGGCGAGTGTAGTGGCTATTGAATCAATCGTCCATGTTCACCTGTCCCTCTCACCGTTCGATGTCTCAGGACTGGAATTCTGGAGGCCTGGAACTCAACCCAGCAACGAACTGCTTGCCGCCCAAGCTAGCTTCAATCGGATGTGGTGTTGTTGTGGTGGCTGCGTAGTCGTCTGTTCGTGTCAACCCCATGATGTTTGTTTTTGTTGTTTCTGTCTCGGCGCAGGGCATCGACGTAGACTGCCAGTGGGCAGATTGGGCCGTCAGCAGCCGAGTTGGAGAATCCCTCTTCGAAGATTTTGCCGTGATGCGAGCCCAGGACTGGAGCGTATGCCAGTTCACCTGCGGGGGAGGCCGAGACAAGATTTGGACACAGGCATATAGATTCCAGCGATGGTTGTGACAATCGGATCTCTAGCCGCTGTTGGTAGGCCCCAACAAAGCACAGAAGCCTCTGCGACTGATATTTCGAGCGCAGGAACCCAATCATCTCAGCACCGCGCCAGCTCCTCCTGTGTCATGTTGCCCTCAACCTTGCCCTAAGCCCTAAACCCTAAACCCTATCCCGAGTCCAAAGAAGCTTGGCCTTCCCTCAAGGCATCTCGGTAAGAGACCGAGCCGTGAAGCGGATGGCCCAAGGGTCAGGCCGGTCTCGCTGATGCACCGGGTTTCGGGTTTAAGGTACATTGCATATGGATTATATGACCAACACCTAATACCTGTCACAATCATCGAAGGTGTGGTACTCTTCAGGATATCTATAGGCCCTTTTAGGAAGGCGGCTTTCTACAACAACGGGATTGATCATTCTGATGGCCACCTTATTGCTGTCCTAGCTGTGATCAACATGCAGTTCAGTTGTAAAACCACTGCATTTTGCGGCAGCCTTTTGTTCTGCAGCTGGAGGCAAGTCCTGCGACAACAACGACAGGCGGCTTGCGTTGCATGCCTAGGTCCCGTTAGTTTGCA